TCAGTACTGAAAACCTGACAAATGTGTATGTATTACTCCACTCAGTAATGAAAACCTGACAAGTGTGTATGTATTACTCCACTCAGTAATGAAAACCTGAGGGGTGTGCATGTATTACTTCACTCAGTAATGAAAACCTGACAAGTGTGTATGTATTACCACACTCGGTATGAAAAACCTGACAAGTGTGTATGTATTACTCCACTCAGTATGAAAAACCTGACATGTGTATATGTATTATCCCACTCAGTACTGAAAACCTGACAAGTGTGTATGTATTACCCCACTCAGTACTGAAAACCTGACAAGTGTGTATGTATTACTCCACTCAGTACTGAAAACCTGACAAGTGTGTATGTATTGCCACACTTAGTATGAAAAACCTGACAAATGTGTATGCATTAGTCCACTCAGTACGAAAAACCTGACAAATGTGTATGCATTAGTCCACTCAGTACTGAAAACCTGAAAAGTGTGTATGTATTACCACACTCAGTATTGAAAACCTGACAAGTGTGTATGTATTACTCCACTCAGTACTGAAAACCTGACAAGTGTGTATGTATTACCCCACTCAGTACTGAAAACCTGACAAGTGTGTATGTATTACCCCACTCAGTACTAAAAACCTGAGAAGTCCCCAATAAGCAGGTTCTTGTCAAGTTGGGAACTCTACTTTGTCTTATTGTAAATTCAAAGTGCCCTCTTTGTTCCCTGCCCCTCTAGCATGCTACATGATTTTTTGCAGAGCTGTATTACCTTCAGAAAGTGAGGTTCCCAGAAAGCATGGCCTTGTCTTGAGTCCCAACTAGGTGATATAAACAAGGCTGTGTGTGTGTGTGTGTGGGGGGGGGGGGGGGGTTAAGGAAGCAATTTATGTTAAATGAGAGAAACCATATTTAAACAGAGGAGGAGGTCTCAGATTTCAACTCCCTTTTGCAGCTTTAGGCCTGAACCCAGTCATTTTCACACCTATCCGGAATTTCATCCAGGTCACCAGAGTGGCTATAATGGTAAATGGATGGTAAATGGACTGTACTTATATAGCGCATTTCTATCTTATTTCAAGATACTCAAAGCGTTTTACACTACAATCCGTGTCCTCATTTACCCATTCATACAACACTCTACTAGATCTCTACAAAGCTAATTGAACAAATCATTCTAAAGAGACTAATCAACGAGAAGAAATCTGAAGTTATGCTGTTTCCTCCCAATGACACAATCACCAACCACTGCATCGACCTATCCGTTCTGTCACCGTTAGTGAAACAAAGAGTCACTAATCTAGGAGTGATACTTGACCCTTCTTTGAAACTCAACAATCATGTAAATATGATTGTTAAATCCTGCTTTTTCCAGCTGAGGCGACTGTCTAAGCTGAAGCCCATATTGTCCAAAAATAACCTGGAGACAGTAATTCATGCATTCATTACATCCAGGCTCGACTATTGCAACTCACTCCTTTTTGGTATCAGTCAGACCTCCATAGCTAGACTCCAACTGGTCCAAAATGCAGCAGCCCGGTTTTTGACCAGCACAAGCAAAAGGGAGCACATTACACCTGTTTTGGCCTCCCTACACTGGCTTCCGGTTCACCTTCGAATCAAATTCAAAATACTCTTGTATGTCTATAAATCACAAAACAGCTCTGCCCCCTCCTATCTTACTGATCTGCTCCAGCCGTATGTCCCACCACGTTCTCTCAGATCAGCAGACCAGTTGCTCCTAACAGTCCCAGGAACCCGTCTCAAGCGCAGAGGTGACAGGGCCTTCTCTGTAGCAGGCCCAAGACTTTGGAATGAGTTACCTCTGCTGGTTAGACAGGCCCCCTCCCTCACAGTTTTTAAATCTTGCTTAAAAACGCACTTCTATTCCCTGGCTTTCTGCACTGTGTGATCTGTGCTGAGTCTGTGTGCATCACACTGTGTTAGTCATGTTGCGGTTGTTGTTGTTATCCATTATTGTTTTTGTCGGTTTCTACTTTTTGGTGTCCTGTTATGTAATCTGTTGCTATGTGCTTGTTCTGTTTGTCCCTGTACAGCACTTTGGTGTGCTTTGTCACTGTTTAAAGTGCTTTATAAATAAATTGGTATGGTATGGTATGGTATGGTAATCAGTGCTTTATCACATTCATACACCGATGGGACACACATCGGAGGCAATGAGGGGTTCAGTGTCTTGCCCAGGGACACTTCGGCATGTGACTGCTGGTGGATTCGAACCCCCAACTCTTGCATTGGAGGACGACTGCTCTAACCACTCAGCCACAAATCAAACTAACAAAGACCTTAACAAACCCTTATTGTAAGGATTGATAGAGCAATCTCCATATGTATTTGGCTTAGTTCAGATTTATAACTCGAACCCCACACTCTCTGTTTTTTGAATTGAGAAAGCTCCTCGGATGAAAAGTGAATTGTGGGAAGACGCTCATGAATTTTCAGGCAAATACACTCAGCCCACTAATGAATTCAAACCCACCTGCAGGTTGCAGCGCAGGTTGAATACTTCCATCCCCAGAGCCGTGTTTTCCTGAAAGGCTTTGTCCTTCTGCTCCCTCTCATTGCTTGCCTCCTCCAGAGCTTGAGTCAACTCATTATCAAACCTGTATTACAGCACACATACACACATACACATGCACATAGAAATTCATTCAACCTTTATTTATACAGGTTAGTCTCATTGAGTAACAAGGACTCATTTACAAGAGAGATCTGTTTTAAAACAAAACCACAGATGAGGTACACACAGCAATAAACATTCATATAAAAGCATATAAAATGAAAAGTAAATTAAAGAAGTGATATAAAACAAAATAAACAAACCCAAATCCTCAATGTATAATTTTACAAAGGAGGCTATGTGCATTTATGTGCAAAAAATGTAGACCTGACATATTTTTTAAAGTCTTTTGGTGTTTTGCAATGTGTGGGAGGTTCAGGATTAGTTGGATCCCGGACAACAGCAACAAATTTACGATTAAACATTTCCTTGTGTTTTTTGTAACAGATGTATAGTGACAGGAGTTGATATTGTGGCAGTTGGCCCTCATAATCATTCCATGGTGAAAAGAATTTATAAAGACATGGTTAATTAGAACCCAAAAACAATGAAGTTTGCATGGATGGAAAATGCAAGCAGATGAAAAGGTAGTGTTGTGGAAGAAATATAAGTAAAATTGCTCGAAATGGGAGGGCAGCCGACTAGGGACTTGAAATTCCCAGGTTTGATCTCCAGTCATTGCACATCTCGTGATGTCTCTGAGCAGCAAGCACACCCTATCCCCAAATGCTAGTGAAGATTCTCAGTCATCCAGGACATGATGAATTCAAAAAGCGTTCAAAAAGCGTTCAATACAAAATGATGAATACAAAAAGCGTTCGCACCCTGTTGGATCTCTGCCTCTCCACCACTTATTTCAAGTTCAATGACAGTTTTTACAGACAGAAGCACGGCTGTGCCATGGGATCTCCAGTGTCACCCATTGTTGCCAATCTCTACATGGAGGAAGTGGAACAGAGAGCCCTACACTCCTATGAGGGAACAAAGCCGAGCCATTGGTTCCGTTATGTGGATGACACCTGGGTCAAAATCCAAGCCAAGGAAATAGAAGCGTTCACCAGACACATTAACTCGGTCGATAACAACATCAAGATCACCAGAGAGGATGCAAACGACAACAAGCTGCCTTTTTTGGACTGTTTGGTTCAGATGGAGAGAGAGGACAGCCTCAACATTGAAGTGTACAGGAAACCAACCCACACAGACCAGTATCTTCTGTTTGACTCCCACCATCCACTGGAACATAAACTCTCTGTCATCAGAACTTTACAACATCGGGCCGAATGCGTCCCCACGAAGACAGAAGGGAAGGAAAAGGAACTGAAACACGTTCAAGAAGCTCTTCAAACATGTGGATATCCTAACTGGGCTTTTGTCAAGTCAGCGAGGAAATCTACAAAACACACCAATAAACAGAAAAAGGAGAACAACAGACGTAAAAACATTGTCATCCCTTATGTTGCTGGAGTATCAGAGAAATTCAGAATGATATTCAACAAACACAAGATCCCAGTACATTTCAAACCCAGCAGGACTCTCAGGCAGAGGCTGGTCCACCCTAAGGACAAAACACCCATACACAAACAGAGTGGTGTAATGTATGCGGTCCAGTGCAGCGAGGACTGTCCAGACCTCTACATTGGAGAAACTAAACAGACTCTTCACAGACGCATGACTCAACACAGGAGAGCCACCTCCTCTGAACAAAATTCCGCAGTTCACCTCCACCTCACAGATAAGGGACACTCTTTTGAGGACCAAAATGTGCACATTTTGGACTGAGAACACAGATGGTTTGAGAGGGGGGTGAAGGAAGCAGTTTATGTAAAAAGAGAAAAGCCGTCTCTTAACAGAGGAGGAGGCCTCAGATTTCCTCTTTCAAAAACATATAATGCAACTTTAAAACAGATTCCCAGCCGGTTTTCACACCTGATGGGAACAGAGGGGCCTCGACTGTGAATTAGAGGAACAAAAGACCTACTGTTTAGGTTTTTAGGTGTGAACTGCCAATCTACATATATGTGTGTGTGTGTGTCTTATGTGTGTGTGTGTCTTATCTCACTCAGCCTTATAACCTGTATCTCTCACTCTCTGCTCTTTGAATTGAGAAAGCTCCTCGGATGAGGAGCGAAACGTCTTCTGTTACAAATAAAGTCCAGTTGTTTTTGTATTGAACGCTTTTTGAACCCTATCCCCAAATACTCCCCTGGTGCTTTCATAGCTGCCCACTGCACCACCTGGTGGTGGATGGGTTAAATGCAGAGAGCCAATTTGGCTTTTGTATGGAAATGTACAATGATGACAATGCATAACACATTATTATTATTATTATTATTATTATTAAAGTAACATCTTTAAAATCACTTCAATCACCTGGTAAACTATACATTAATATAGTTTCAGGAGAATCATTAATAATATTGCACCATCAGCACAAAATATTAGATTTTTTAAATATCAAAGCAGGTGCTAACTGGCAAAAATATCATATTTTACCTCCTCTGTTTGCTTTCCAGTTTATGTATGCGGCTCTGCAGACTGTCAATAAGCACTCGTGCATCCTGAAAGTCAGAGGTCACATGTCGACTGTGGCGTTTCAGATCAGTCACGCTCCTCCTGGACTGCTCCAACTGGGCCTGAAGAGTTGCCACCTGCACAGACAATCGCTATTACCTTCAGAAATTTTTATCAGCGGTGACTGCTGCTGAGCACATTGCTTTGACCTTCCTCACCTTAGTATCGTACTGTTGTCTCGTCTGTCTCTCTGTCTCCAGCTTCTCTTCTGTCTGCTTCAAACGTTTGCGGACAAATTCAACCTCCGTCTGGCAGCACTCCAGCTGCATGGCCAGCTCACTTTCTGTTAGCCAGAATGGATGAATATGATTTTGACAAGAAAGATTGTCAGGGTGAAATATTTCTGATGTTCATTACTTAAAACTCCTTTCAGAATGTTGAACTGAATTGCTCCAGGAGTCAGGGCACAAACCTTCAGTTAGACAACTTTAGGTTGTTGTTTTAATGTCTATACTTAATGTCAATAATTAATTCAATTGTTTTCTTGAAACTTTGCTGTATTTCAAGCTTAGAAGTTTTTATTCATTTTTTATTTATTTGTTTGTTAGATACTTGCCTGTGGCCTGCAATGTACATATGATCTCACTAACCCATCCATCCTGTCCATCTATTATCGTTTCTGGATGGAGTTTGCATGTTCTTTTCATGCATGCGTGGGTTTTCTTCAGGTATTCCAGTTTCCTCCGACATACCAAAAACATGCACGTTAGGCTAACTGGTAACTCTAAATCCCCTAGGTGTGCGTGAGCAAGAGTGAATGGTTGTTTGTCTCGTTTGTCTCTATGTGTCCCTGTGATGGACTGGAGACCTGTCCAGGGTGTCCCCTGCCTCTCGCACAGTGACTGCTGGACATGGGCACCAACCCCCGTGACCCAAAAAGGAAGAAGCGAGTAAAGATGATGGATGGATGGATGGATGGATGGATGGATTGATGGATTGATGGATTGATGGATTGATTGATTTATTGATTGATTGATTGATTGATTGATTGATTGATTGATGGACATTTTTTAACTTCTTTCATGAAGCTACCAGTTGATAAACCTTAACTTACTGTATGTGACCTAGTACCAGTAGTTTGTTTTTCAGTATCTGTTTCTGGGAGTGTTATTTTTGGTTGAAAAAATAATGTATTAGGCATTCTTTTATTTTTCCTGTTGTACAGAAACCATGACTCTCAAACAAAGATACATGCCAGATCATGATCTATACATACCTTTATTGCAAAAATGGGGAAAAAAGTAATGTCAAAAAATGTATTCATGCAAGTATCTGCCAAAAATACTTTTCATGTAAATTAACTCAAGATGTCATAATCAGAACATTGTCCCAATCATCAACACTGCTTCTACTTGTCTGTTAGTTGCCAGACCAAGTAAGTGATCTACACGGATCTCTATAAAGAAAATGTAATTGATGTGACCAGACTACTTTCTTCAAATACCAGCCGTACACTATCACACAGATCACATGGCTTCACCATTACTGTTCAACAGATGGCACTTAGGGCAGATGTGACTGAGTGGTTGGAACAGTTGTCTTCCAATGCAAGAGTTGGGGGTTCAAATCTACCAGCAGTCACATGCCGAAGTGTCCCTGGGCAAGACACTGAACCCCTTGTTGCCTCCGATGTGTGTCCCATCGGTGTATGAATGTGATAAAGCTCTGATTAGTCTCTTTAGAATGATTTGTTCAATTAGCTTTGTAGAGATCTAACAGAGTGCTGTATGAATGGTTAAATGAGGCACAGATTGTAGTGTAAAAAGCTTTGCGTATCTCGATAAGATAAAAAGGCGCTATATAAGTGCAGTCCATTTACTTAACTCCCCAGTATCTAATAGACCTCCTGGTCTCAATACAAATCGAATGTGTCTTCCATATCTACAGTGAGTGACCTTCAGCTAAACCTCTCTAAGTTTTAACTATTCGTGTTTCCAGTCTGTCTCCCCAACCACCCAACATAATGTTCACATTAAAACTGACTTTTTATGCCTGATTCTTATTTAAAGATGTAACAAAGGAATGATTTTAGACATGTAAGGCTTGTTCTTTACACATTTATTTTTTAAACATACTTCATAAGACCCATGTCATTACATGGGCCTGATTGATCTTTTGCACATCGTGTTTGTTTCATAAATGAGGACACAAGAATCATGAATCAGTTGGAGAGCTTATGCAATTTCACTTAAGCTTTACATTTTGTTTTCTGTAATTTACACACTTCAAATGTGCTTTAAAGTTAGGTGCCAATTCGTGCATTTTTGTTAAATTTTGCAGCTTAGGATTGGGTTTGCTGTGAGCTCTAACAAATGCAATATTACAAAATGATACAAAAACACAACAAAAAGCTTGAAATTACATAAATTCTCTCTGTCAAACAAAAACATAGACTTTACCTGTTGCAGCTCCTCTCTGACATGCGGCGACCTGAGCTTTCTGCTTCTCTTCCTCCAGCTGCTTCTCCAGCGTTGCTATGGCAACTTTACACTGGTCTAGTCGAGTCTACATTTGAAAAAAAAAATCACATGTTGGACAACAAAAGGATGCAATTAGTTTAGGAATAAGATTTAAGGAAACAGCAACCACTTTACCCAGGAAGCCATCTATATGTCATTAGTAATTACTCAGAGCCAGTGCAATCATTGGTGAGAAAGAGAAGTTTGTTCGTGGGCCTACCTGCAGATCTTTGTTTTCCCTGCTGAGTCGAAGCCTCTCTGCCCTTTCCATATCCAGAGCCTGACCCACTGCATCTCCACGGAAACGCTCATCAGTTAGCTCAGATGTCACAGCTGTAACCTACACACATGCATTGCAATATTAACAATAGGTGTGTGCACGTGAGTGTGAGTGTGGGTGGGTGTGTGTGCTATGTTACAGTCCAAACCTTGGTCTCCAGGCTGTCTGCAGTCTGCCTCAACTCATTCCTCTCTTTCTCTGATTTCTCCAGACGGTGCCTAAGAGCTGATACCTCATCCTGACAAAATAAGAAAGGGAAAGTACCTCACAACGACTGAAACATCTTTTAATGTGCATCATAGAATATTTGCTGGATCACTAAGGTTTTTTTAGTGTTAGTGTTGCTCCCTATCCCTATATCACTGAGACTGCCCATTTTAAGCTGAGACTACATGTAACAGTGAATGTCAGCAGTGTTACATATTAAAGTTCATCAGCAGTGCCTTCTAACATTTTTTCTTTGGAATTCAAAATGAGGGAGGGAAAAGCCATGCTGCCCTCCATGCAAATATGAACACTTGTGCATAGACAAAAAAACAATCCATCCATCCATCCATTCATTACCTTTTACTCACTTCTTCCTTTTCTGGTCACCGGGGTCACTTGTGCCCATATCCAGTCATCGCTGGGCGAGAGGCAGGGGACACCCTGGACATGTTGCAAGTCCATCACAGGGACACATAGAGACAAACAAGACAAACAACCTTTCACTCTCACACACACCTAGGGACAATTTAGAGTTACCAATTAGCCTAACATGCATTTTCTTGTCTGTGGAAGGAAATCGGAGTACCCAGAGGAAACCCACACATGCACGGAGAGAACATGCAAAATCCACCCAGAAAGGTCCATGGCCGGGATTTCATCCAGTGACCCTCTCGCTGAGAGGCGGTAGCACTACCAACTAAGCCACAGTGCCACCGTTGTCGATAAATTAAAAAAGATTGACTCAGGTCCTATAGACAGATTCTTTTTTGTTGGAACATTTCATCTTTTATCCAAAAGACTTAGGTTGTTTTCACACCTGATAGTCCGGTAGACTCGGTTCGGTTGTGGACCAATATTCATAACATTTTGTTTACATTGGAGCTAGTGCGTTTGCATTCACACTGCACTGTGCAGTCGAGCCAACCTGTTGAACCAACCTATTCCCCCGCTTGCCTGTGGGGGAGCTGCACCAAGAACTACTGAAAGAAACAACACAAAAACCTCTGAAGACACTTCTTCTTCTGGAAATAAAAACAAAAATGGAGTGGCATCAAGTTTTAGCAGTTTTAGGAGTTATATTTTGTCATTTTTCAAAAATGGACTCAGCATGAGAAGAAGATGAGGCAGAAGACCATGGAGAATATTGTTTTTCACACAAGGCAGCTGACGGCTCCATATAAGGTAAGAAAAATGCGTGTTTGTTTGCCCTGCGCTGTACTCCACTTCTTGCTTGTGGAGCAGGGTCCGGTCTGTTTACATTCACATTGTACTCGAACCGCGCTGGAGTTCTCTTCTACCGGACCGAGACCTAGGTTTTAGCCCGGGCCAGAGTTCACCTTTTTGTTCTATGACAGAGTTCGATGGCGCGTTCACACCTCCCCAAACGAACCAGACTTTCTAGGAGAACGAGCTAGAGTTCGATTAAAGCGGACTAAACAGGGCTGGTGTGAATGCACCCTTACTTCTTCCATCTAAGGAACTGCAACAAACTCAGTCTTATTCATTCATTCAACCTTTATTTATACAAGTTAATCCCATTGAGCCTCAGGGCTTATAAATAGCACCTTCTCATAGTGGATCAGCAAATTTGCTGGTGACAGCCAAACCTAGTCGTTCACATGAAAAAGGAGGACCAATCGTTATTGCCCAACAATTGATTGTTAGTGTCCTGATGGCCTTTTGCTATTCACAAGGGGCCAAGTGATACTAGCATTGACAGCTTTGTCTTAAGATATTTTTGGACTGGTCCTATGGTTTTGATCTGCTCATAGACAGGATTATAATGAAATTATGGCCCGGTTCTGACTGGGTTAAACTGGGCCAGCAGCTCTAAGAGAGTCTCCCTGGGATTCAATATCAGTCAAGGAATAGAGTTAAGTCTGCTTGCCATATCACGTAGAAAGGCTTTTGAAGCACCGTCTCATATTTCCTAACACGTCAGAACCACATAAGATCCACTGAGATCACACTTAGTCATGCCCCCTCATCCACTGACAGGTTGAGCTCCCCTTCTGCGAAGGAGGAGTCCAGGACCCTATAAATGAGTAATGACACAGTAAATCGGGGCTCTTCTGGGTTTTTGTGAATGCGTCACAGACCAGCGCTGTGAATTGTAATTTTTTTCCTGCCTTGATTTTAATACAATTGATAAAACTTAACTGATGTTCCCTTGATTTATTGATTAGTATGAGTTACCACTTCTGAGGGAGATTTGAGCCGGGGGGAAAAGACGTGGGCTGGAGGGGGTTTTCTGGGTCCGGTGGCCCGCAGCCAGCTCCTGTCTTTAACAATTGTAAGAGGGTGATTGTTGAATACGAAGGCCTTTGCCCCTGTTTAACGATGGACAGGTTATCTTCACAAAGATGGCTTTCTTTACTCCTCTCTCAAAATAATGTTCCTCTCTATCAAGGATGTGGACATCTTGATTCCTGAACTAGTGACTACTGGCCTGATGATGTTGATCTTCTGTGCTGGGTCATCCTTTTGGCCAGTGACTGTTGAGTTTCCCTGATGTGCAACTGACCACAGTCCTCCTGGCACTGAATAGCATACACAATATTACTCTGTGCTGGGAGACCCGATCTTTGGAACGAATCAGGCTTTGCCATAATGTATTTTGGGGTTTGAAAGCCACTGGGACATCATGTTTAGAATTTTTTTTTTCATTCAACCTTTATTTAGACAGATAAATCACAATGAGCCTCGAAGACTCATTTACAAGTGAGACCTGCTTAGACAGACAAAAAGTAGTGAAACTGGAACATGTAGGAATTGGAGGCAAAAAAAAAATTCTATTAAACTTTTTCTTCTTGGCTGAGAAGAAAAACTCTAATATTAAAAAACACCTCACACACAAAGCACATAGTGACGTAGACATTCCACGGGGGGGAGACAACAAGAGCGGTTAGCAATGTTCAAGGATGCACTCGAGGACACTGTAAGAGTTCTGATAAGGATGTAATAATCAACCAGTTCCCTCCGGTGAGGTCCGTAAACATTCTCGAGTGATGTCGGGGAATGGCCAGGGACAATGCCTATGGGAATCCAAGAGTCCTGAAATTATGACACAATGTTTATTCAGCTGGTTTCCTCTGGTTATCAATTGGAAATTCCTCGATGGTAAGGGGAGCGGCCAGGGAAGAGCATCAGATTACATGTTCTCCAGGTGAATTCAAATAGGATGGCCTTCAAGGCCAGCCGGGGGAGCCAAATTCAGATAAACACACAGTTGTTTTGGGGACAGGCAGAATTTAATGACATCTACCTTAACTCTGTGTTGGTCCAAAGGGTTCCAAAATGTCCAAGTTACATGGCCACTCCGATGGAATGTGCCTGAGTAAAATCCCTGAAATCTGATCCATTCTGCCCAAAGCATATGAGTCTGGGTACTCGAGGTACGAACCAAGACATCATAAGGCAATCAGCATGATCGGGTCCAATTTTGCTGCTGACGACATCCTTGATTGTAGATAAAACCTGCAACCAGCCAAATCTGAAAAGCAGTAACCAGTTATCATAAATCCAATTAAATATGTGTCCTTAAAATCCGCAAATTGTAGCAGAGATAGATACATCATCAAGTCGTCAAGTCGATCAGATATCCAGCTACATGCGTGCCAACAGGGCAAATTGGCTCGCCTAAAGCCTTTCTTCTCTTCAAATAAATGTTATCAATTTTGCCGAGGGACCAACTGATCAATTCAAGTCCATAATTATGGTTTGGAAGATATGCAAGAGAGGCTCAGAAGCAGTTTCACAGATAGACAGAGCAGCAAAGCAAAGAGGAGAGGGAGAGAAAGGAAAATGTGTCCGACCTCGACAAGAGCAATAATAAATAAACGTCTCAGTTTCTCTGAAACTCTGCAACATATGGAATGACCACTGGTCTCGGTCTGGGGTCCTCCTTATTACCTGATGGCTGGCTGGAGTCCTGTTTGGGTTTCTTATCTTCTTTCAGGAAGGCCCAGTTAGGATATCCACATTGCTCCAGGGCCTGTCTTGTGTGGGATTTCTCAATCTGCCTGGATCCTGAGATAGTGGGAACATTGTCCGCTCTGTGATACAGAGTGCTTGTGCTCCAGAGTGCTTGTGCTCCAGTGGGTGATGGAAGTAAAATCACAAGTACTGGTCTTTGTGGGTGGGTTTGTGGTACACATCAGTATCCAAAAATCCTTCATCAGGGACTGAGACCTCACAGTCTAAGAAACCCAATTTTTGAATTTACCATGTCCTAGATGTCTGAGAATCTTCACCAGCGTAAGAAACCCAATCTGCCATCTTATAAATCTTGTTTTGTGAACTATATATATTTATACACTGAGTTGATGTGATCAGTGAAAAGTTGAACCTCCTGAGATTTAATTTTAACCCAGGTGTCATCAACATACCTGAACCACTGGTGGCATCCCTGAAAAGGATGCCAAGGCTCTCTTTCTACCTTCTGCATGTGCAGTAAAAGTTTGCAACAGTAGCAGGAACTGGGGACCCTATACATATATTTTTCTGCCTAGAATATTGGCCCCCATATGTGAAGTAGGTTGACTACAGGCACAGTTTCAAGAGTTGACACAGTAGCTCTGTGGAAAGCGTTTTCCTGCTGCTCAGAGTGGTGTCTTATTTTCAACTTAAACAGACCACCTCTACTGCCTCATCAACAGGAATGCACATAAAGAGTGATGTGACATCAAAAAAGACACTTGTTTCATCAGTCTCCATGATGACATCCCTCACCTTATCCACAAAGTCCATGGTGCTCTGTATGGGATTTTCTGAGCTGCCAACTAAAGGGGTGTATACAGATGCCAGATATAAAACTTTGTATGTGACAGAGTTAGCCATGCTAACAATTGGTCTTAAGTTACTTCTTGTTTGTGAATTTTGGGTAAATCACATAGACTAGTCGTGGCCTCCCCTGGGTACAGTCTGTGGTACAGAATAGCTTCGTCAATAGCTTTGTCCTGCTCCAAATGTTTCAGGCACTCTATCAACTTCTTCTTGTAACCACTTCTTGGATTTATTTTCAGTGGCTCA